CAAAACATGGCACTGCGGGTCAGAGGTGAACAATTTTGAGAAAGAATCAAGAATTAAGTTTCCATGGTGACAAGCATTTAATTTCAGTGTCACCACACGTCCATTGTATGCTATATTTGTCTGCAGGTTTTGAAATGTACTGGTAAATGTAGTACACCAAACCCATACTGTGTTGATTTATTTATTTGTTCACATGACTTTATACAGTTTATTACAGTTTAACGACCTGTACTATAAGTCTTTCCTTTGATGACAGCCAATATTGCGAACATACATGCACATAAATCTGTTCTCACTCAACTGTTTTTGTATGAGAATATTTACATCAATGGTAATCTCAAACATTGTTGGCATGTGTTCATGTACATCACTATCATTATATGTCAAACCATGTTTAACAAGCCATGCATGGCACAGTCCCCGTTAGTTATCAAATTCTTAGATATATAGTTTTGTTTATAGTAATATAGCTGGAATATAACTATGTCAGGAATATGATTTTGATGATTTTTTAGCACAAAAATGGCCACCATTCGGCCATTTTTAATAGAATCGTCAAACCAATATATCTGTATATCTATGACATGATCTATAATGAATATTTAAAATTTGAACATAATCAGTCAAAGCAAGTCAGAGATATGGCACTAGAACCACATTCATTAAAACAAAATGGCCACCAGTCGACCATTTTGAATCTTATCTGAAAAACAAAATGATGTGCATCAAGGTCCTATAATGTGTAACGTATATACCAATTTTGAACAAAATCCATCTGTAAACAGCCGAAAAATGCTTGATTTCGATGATTTTTAGCACAAAAATGGCCGCCATTAGGCCATCTTGAATCAGGTCGAGAAACAAATTGACATGCATACGTATAATATCATGTATGATGTATGTGTAAAGTTTGATTGTGATTGGTCCAGGCATTTCTAAGATACAGGTCCGGACGCACGCACGGACATATGCGTGCATGCACAGACACACAGAGGTCAAAACATAAGTCCCCGTTTTCGGACTGCGAAATGAGGATAGGGATTAATGGGCAGGACAGCACAGTACAGACATTTCTTTAGAGGTCAATGAATTACTATATTTATATTTACAAACAGGAATTTCATATTAAAATTGTAATGTAACCCCCTCCCTCCTCACCCAGTAATTAACCTCTCCTGAAAGTGATGTAGTTTGTTTAATCGGTGATGAAAATAAACACACTCAAACATTTAATATAGAGTATAATAATATGTACTAAATCTTAAAATGTATTAAAATCAATTAAAATTAATGAGATGTAATACATTTTCAAGAGAGGAAAAATTAAGCACTAACATAAATTTTACTGGCATTCATTTACAGTGACAGTAAAAAAAAAAAAAAAATGAAATCTACATGTATCTAAAGTGATCCCATTTTCAACTTCATCACTGTACACTCTTATAAATAGAACAAGCCTTAAATAAAACAAAATATTCTCAGTGCTTTTGGCACACTGCTAGCTACATGTATACAATCTCTATAGATTTATATATACATGGAGGAATGATTTGTGCGTATATGTACGTTCAACATGTACCTCGCCAGGACA